CCCCCCCCCCCCCCCCGTCAACAGAAAAACACCTATTTGTGCAGTTTTTGCACTTTCTGATAGATCAACTCTTTTGTGCTGAACACTTTTCAGTGCTGGTTAAATGGTTTCAATACTCTGATTTAATTGGCACTGTAGCCTTTGAACAAGTCTGCATAGAGCCCTGTGGGGTCTAGAATTTACCTTTGTCATGCAAGAATACTAAGAAAGCAGATGAAATAAGCTTTCTCCTACATTCCGTCTTTTAGATGCACCAAAAAAGGGTTATCATAAGAGAGTTGATGGAGCACTGGGCAGCACAATGAGTACAGCAGAACTTACATCCTCAGGGAGGTATGATTTATATTTAGGAACTCATTTTTTCTTACTACTGAAAGTAATTTAAGTAACTATGGAAGAAGTAACTTTCAGTAATTGCTCTTAAACTGTTTTACTGAAAACATTGATTATAAAGTGTGTATGTTAGGGGAGGTGGGAAGTTCATGGTTGATGTAGCTGGGAGGCTGGTACACAAATAGAGCTAAAAGCTTGCTCTGGTTGTCACAAGCTCTCCCTATAGTAAAACTGCCTTCTGATAACTGGGACGAATTAAGGAAAATTGTAACAGACAGGTACGGGGCAGACAACGTATGTAAATCTTTAGTAAAAGTTGCTTAAATTTAAAAACTGAGCAATGTTAAATATAACTGGCATCTTGTCTCTTTCTAGGATCTTCTCACTCTCATCAGAGTTGGCTACATCAGAAAACAGCTGTCCAGTTCTTGAAAAGGTTCTTTAATTTCCTTACCTCCAAGAGAAGTTTAAATGCTAGCAGTCTCTTGGCATTGAAAAATGCTGGCTAAACTTCTTGCATTCTCTCTAGCCTGCAACACATCTTTTTTGTGTTAGTCTTTCAGTGCAGCCACTTGCCAAGGGAATTTGTTAGCTGGCAAAACATCTGTTGTAATATCTCCTATGTTGAGAGTCAGGAGATATTGCTGTGGTGCTCTATGGGGTGTGGATGCAGTCTCTGAGTGGCCATGAGGCTGTTCTGAATTATGCCTTGGGATTAGTAAGGTGGTCCCAAGGTGAGGAATGCAAATGTGGCTCAGTGGCATTATTACTGCCTTTGTTATACTGCGGCCCAAAAGTGTAGGAGCAAAGGGCTGTCTCTTACCTACATACACTTCACCTGTTTAGGCATGTTTCATACTTCAAAATGTGATTGGAATATCTCATTCCACCCTCTAAGTGGAAACTTGCAACTTTAAATTGAGTATGTGAATAAACACTGACTGTCTCTGTTGCACAACTTAAGCTTGGCAGTTCCTTCAAATTAGTTTTATAATATCTGGGTACAACTTAAAATATCTCTTGTGTATTCCTTCAGAAAGTACATACTGAACCTCCCAAAAGGAAAGAACATTCTCTTTCTCAAAAAATCTTAAAATGTGGAGTAGCCAGACCATTAGAAGCTTGGAATAATAGAGACTCTCCAGTACTCCAAACACCAACTCCAGTCAAAAGAGAAGATCCTTATAGGAAAGCACAAGAACAGCTGGCAGAAGAGGTTAGAAAAAATCTGCTTTTAAATTATTAATGTGTATGTTAATTCTCACTTCTTAAGGGAATCCAACTGAGTACCCAGATCAAATTATAACTTCTGATTTCCTTGCCATCATAGAGGCTTAGATGGGTAAAAGTGATGGCTCTATGACTTAAATCTGCACATTGCTCAGTTTTGGAGGGATACCATACTACTCTGAACTGAAATATTCTGGGGGGTTCCATTCTGGCTAGCAGCTAAAAAAGTAACAGACATTTGCACAACTGTTTACTGGACAGATGCTTAAGACACCCATCACAGTGTCTAAGATGCATCTAAATATTTAGGCCCATATGTGTTGGAATGGCCCAAGCTCTTCACCATGTCACTTGGCAATAAGCAGTCTGGTTATCAGTACATGTACCTTGCAGTCCTGGAGTAGGATTTGGTGATTTGTGTGTAGGTATTCATAATGGATAGTTATCCTAGAAACTGACTGAATTTGCACTCTGAAGAATTCTTTTACAAGGACTTTGTAAAGTTATGCCTTATTTTGAAGTGGAATATTAAATATCTCCCTCTCTGAGACAAGGCAGTTAATTCTCAACTGCACTCTCAAAACTTGCCATTTTAGACTATCAATGCTCCGCTGTGTAAGCTTAATACTGCTCCCAAATGCCTTTTTCCAAAATCTTAAAGTACTTGGTTAATTAAATTTATTTGTCCCTTGGGTCTTTATCAGTGTTGTAAAACTGGTATACTGAGATGCAAACTGAAGCAACTTGCCAAAGATGAATACAGAATTCAGATTTTCTTCTTGTACTCCAGTCCCAAACTATTCAGGAGGCTATAGTCCCTTCCTTTCCACATGGGCATGTTGTACATTTAGGAGTGAAAAGTAGTTTTCCGCACAAAATAAGCAGTGATTGTTTAACTTTTGTAGAATTAGAGTGGTTGGAGAATAGGATTCATTTGTTGCCATTATTGATAAACCTATGTATATTTTATATGCTTTCTTAAGATCTGTTCTTTAATCCTCTCCAGGTTGCAAATGTGGTAGTATCAGAGTCACCCTCAAATAGTGATGGAAAAGGGATGGAGCTGGAAGATCTAATTGAGTCATTGGCTTCCAACCCTTTCTTAGCAAGGAAACAAATCCCTCGAACTCCAGAAAATCTGAGTGAGTTCAAAGTTGGAGTTTGTAACTGTGAAGTAGTTGAATGTAAGGGAACTGATAATACTGGAACCTGGCTGTGGAGGAAATGTGGCTTAAGCTAAAAGTGCTAAGTCATTCTGATTACTCTTTTTTTTCTTTTTTTTTCTTTAATAAAACATGATTGTATAATAAAGTGTCTGAGGTGGCATGGAGCTCTCCTATGTTGATGCTATCTTGCTGTTGACATTGGGAGCATGACTGGTGCTAAATAGCTAACTTCAGTAGTTCTGAAGGTGGTGTTTTGCTGTTTTCAGAGCAGTTGAAAAATGGGTGGCTAAATATGGACTTGAACTGAGCTCTGTCCTTGACTGACTTGTTTCATGTAGTTACAGAAATCAGAAGCTCGTGGCGAAAAGCAGTACAGGATGGCTACCCTTCTGATACAGAGTTGGCTCAAACTGAAATGGTAACAGAAGGTGTTCTGTTGGATATAAAGCCTGTACCTCAAAACAGAATAGACGCTAGTGTGGCCTGCTTTATGTCTTCATCTCACATATCAGACCTCTCTACTTCTAATTTTAATGTAGTAGAAGGGAAGTCGTTATTAAATTGGATGACACCTGAACCTCCAAAGCAGGTGATATTTAGTCGCATCAGTGACTCGCCAATCCAGAAGCCAGCTACCGGAGCACTAGCTAACAAAAGAACTTTGCAAAAGGAATTAAAGGGTACTGTTTTAAATGAAATTCTTAAAGAAAATGTACAAGAACTTATGCCAGCTGTGGATAAAAGTATAAATGTTCTCAATAGTCAGGAAAACTGTAATAAGATAACAAATATTCTGTCACCTTATTGTCAGAATTCCACAATGCGTTCAACCTTGTCCTGGGATGCTTCTCAGATGGTAAGTGGTATTAGTTCCGATAGCCAAGACATTATCCAGTTTGGAATACTGCATGAGACTTTCCCAGAAGAACTTGGCAACCTAAGCCTTACTAGCCCTCAAAGTTCAGAGACTGATGATATATTGGGGAGTAACTCGAGGGACAGCAGGTCCTTAACAGAAAGTACAAAAAATGAATGGACTACTCAAGAGTGCAAATTAGATTTGGAGTCTATTCGCAAGCGATACGAAGCACTGAAAAAGACTCTTTTTGGAAATGACTCAGCTCTGGTCTGTAAAAAACAATTCGTGAGGAATAATTCACAGCTAAGCTTTACTCCAAGCAGCACAGAAATACATGACGTCTTTAGTCCTTCAGAAAAATTCTTTACATTAGATACAGAATATATTGGGACACCCTCACACATGTCTCTTCCTCATAGAAAGCACTCTCTCTCACCTTTGGTTTCATTTACTCCAGTTCAAGAGAGACTGAGAGTAGTAGCACAAAAGAAACCTGGAGACTTCCTGCATAACTCAAAAGGTAGGCTTTGCTGTATGCTTTTCAGGAAGGACTGTGCCACCTAGTATATGTGTAAGAAATGTCTTCACTTCAGGGTCCCCTTCTGGTTTGAGTAGCACCTGGGACTCCACTCTGGGGGCAAGATGGTGGCTTGTCACAGCTGTTATGCCTGGTCTCCTTTGGGTTTGGGGGTGTGGAAGAACACTTCTGTCAAAAATTTACAAATGTGGAACTATAGATGCCTTTGCTAGACTCCCCCCTAAAAGAGGTAGAAGCTGAGGTAATATCTTAATGTACATACCAGGCTACGTATCCTGGTGAAATGCAGTATAGCTTCCTGACCTTTGGTAGACTTCTTGGAGGACGTGCAAACATTGGGCAATATATGTGGGTAATTGGTATACCAGCCCTTAGCCTGACATTTGGTGCAAACCCTGATGGATTGTCGACTAGCAGTAAGCATTCAGGAATCTTGCACTATAAAACAGAAAACTGTTGAGTGGAAGGGTTAGAAGTAAAACTCAACAGGCAAGTCTCAAAGGGCCAATAAAACTTAATTTCTGTGGTGCATGCTATGTGGGCTACATCTTGAAATTATACTGAAAGTAAATGTATTCATGATTTCTTAAGTGGTCCTCCATGAGCTCCACTTGCTGCCTGCCAGGTGGTCTCCAAATTCAAGTCAAAGTCCTAAACGAGTTGGGACTATTGATTGAGTCCTACATTTAGTGGGAACTGACTTTCTTCCATAGTGGGCACTCACTGCTTCTCCTTTGGGACTGCTAACTGGGAGCTTAATGTTCACTTGGGTATTATTTATTGGCTGTAATTTAAAAGCTACCGCTTTTGTAGGTCCCATTTTAAGTTAGCCTTTGTGCTCTCTGTAACAGTAGTTTGCTAATGCGTTCCTGGTGCTTTGCTGATGTATATAAGGCTTCAATAGATATTGACTAGTTATTGCTTTCTTGTTCTTTATTTGCATTGATAAAGGATTTTTTCCTTTCACTTTTGGAACAAATGTAAGTTTACAAAATGTCTCACTATTATATCTAATGAACTTCTCTAGATTTAGTATCTGGAAATGTTTTTTTAAA